CCTGTCGGGCATTGAATGGCATTTTATGGCGCACGAAGCAATTGGCTATGAAATTAATTTTGAGAGCAAAAAACTAAATTGAAGCAGCAGGAACTGAAATTAATGTCGCATGCAACGCGACGACCCAAAACAAGAAAAGCAACACTCGGTTCAACATGTGTGGCATAGAGCAACAACTATTCGCAACTCACTACTCACTACTCAGTACCCGGTGTGTATTCGAACCGTGTATACCTGGGCCCTGGAGCCGCAAGTCGTTGCCAGTGGACGCCTTTGAAGTTGGCCTCGCAGTCATTTTTAGTTGGCTCCTACTCCTTTGATGTGACTGCGCCTCCAACGCAGAATGCCACACTAAAAATTCTCAACCATATAAAAGAAATTAAAAGATGGCAGCAGCAGTAGTAGCATCATAATGGGCACATCAAGCGGCGCCTAGTTGCCAATTAAGTGCTAAGAATAGATGTTGACCACTTCACATGATTGAGCGATTCAGGCCAACCACCACAGCAACATCTACAACAGGTAAGACAGCAAATGTGCTTGATTTTGTTTGACTAACAGATATCCTGTTTATATCACCAAGTCCAACGAATAAGTGACGAACATTTCAATTAGTTTATTTATTTAATTTACCCAATATAATATAAAAAATCATAACAATTTCAAGTGGCAAATTACGAGATTTTCTTAATACAATCAGCTGAACACTTTAAATCATTTCATTCAATTATATATCTGTTAGTTGCATAACCACACACCAAATTCTGCATGCCACAGTTGATCGTGGCTTTACAGGGCACACTCAGAATCGACAGCAGACAGCAGACAGCAAAACAAGACGTCATTAGTGGCAGGTGTCTGTAAAAATGTTTAGACTTGGCTATTGTTTGATTTGTGTTGCTTTCTTAGCATCTCGAAGCTTCAATTTTTTTTTTTTTTTTATTTTTTTTTTAACCAAAAATTGCTTTTTCATAAACAGTGAGAAAACTTTGGATGTTTGCATTTTGTTTTCCCCGCAGGCTTTCGTGTGAGTGACCAAAATCGACAGCAAACACAGGAAATGTGCTGCAACATTTTCAACATTTTCCAATGCGAGTGAACACCATTCGAAGGGGGTCACTTCAGAGGGGGGGTCACTTCAAAGAACTCTCGAACAGTTGGCGACAATTAGCTGCAAAGTTGGAGTCTAATGGACTCTGGCATGCCATTGACGCATTAGATGTGATCTCTGGAAGGGGACAGCGATGGTGGGATGGGAGTCCATTTCGAAAGGCGTGATTTCAATGACAACGTTTTGACATTGCAATTTTACGCTACATTTAACACTGCACTGGTCAATGTCGCTGACCTTTCTGACCCTTACAAGGGCAATTATATTTATTTGGGGGTCAGTAAATTGCTATTTAAAAAGGGAAAACAATTGAAAATTTACATAGCGGAGTATACTTTGTATCTATTTTCATAAAAATTCTCATTTCACGTAATGTGTAAAAATGTAACTGTGATTTATAATATTTTAATGTTAGATACTTAAAATGCAAAAGCAGACACATAAAATAGTTTTTTTTATACAAAGATAAACTGCACAGATTGTTTCCAGATTTTGCATAGCTTACTTTTTGACAGCTTACTGAATCTACAACTAAAATTTATAGACATAATGTAGATAAAATTTGTTGTATGTTATGCATTGTCTTTATATCTCTGCAGTCTTCGATAAAACATTCTGTAATTAATAAATTACTAAGATAATCGATTCTCAAACAATGACTGCCTGATTGACCAACTTGAAGATAACAATAATTTTATTTTAATGTTTTTATGTTTTTATTTATCATAATAGAAAGAAATTATAGTAGCTCGAAACGTTTTCTGTCTTCAGTTGGTAAGTGCTATGAATGCGTCATTTTTCTATTAGCCGTTCAGACTTTCAGCTCATTGAAAATCATTAGTAAGTCTCATTGTATGCCCGCTGGGCGCTGCTTGGGGACGACGGCCCAAACCAAAAAGTGCTTGAAGCACATTCACAATTAACCTTCACTTGCCCAGAAGAAGAGTGAGATGGAGATAGAGATAGAGATAGGGATAGAGACACGGGCTCATTGTCAAGCCAATAAAAGCAGGCCAGAGCTACTTAGTCGTTGCCCATCTTCAGATACTTATCAGCTGGCAGAGGGCGCCCAGCAGTCGATATACATATATATAGATATATATAGATAGACATACATATAGATATTCACGTAGTTGTAGTTGGTGGTGTAAGTAAAAGTAAATTAGATAAACGGCAAAGAACGCACAATCATGGCATGTATTGTACTATGTATATGAGTACTACATACATGTGTGAGATATCAACGTTAAAATGAATCTTAATTGAACCGAAACTGAAGCCAACGTCGACGCTCGATCAAAGCGTTTGCCGACACCTCACTCTGCAAATGATGATCGCCCCCATGAGGAAATGTGCCTGGTCAGAGCTCAATGAAATTGACAAATGTTTGGACAAATAAGCAAGCCGAATGATCGACAACGACAACGACAACGGCGACGACAACGACGACGACAACAGAGAAGTATATGATTTTTAGTTGTTTTTGTAATTACGTTGAGAAAATATTAGACGGAAGAGCCGGAGATTCCAGGTCGCATACGGTTTTGGGTCAAAAGTTGTAACTGCAATTTTTGCCTCATTTGCAGGCCCATAAAACGATGAGAAGATACCAAGCCGGTGGTTGGTATCGGCAACTGCAGTGGAATGGAGTGGAGTAGAGTACAGTGGAGTGGAGTGCCTTGCCCTTTTGGGAATGTGTTGACGCAGCAGACGGACAGGAGAAAGAAGGTAAACAGCAAACAGCTCAAGTTTGTAGACAACAACAAGTGGAAAAGTAGTTGCTGAGCGCTGGGATATGGGTTTGTCTAAGGAGAAATGTGTGTAACCAACAGATTGACTGATGGATGAATGGATGAACCGAGCAAACAAAACAGCCTAAAAAACAAAAAACAAAAACACAAAACTCTGCGTTTATCTATAGACAAACAAATGCATTGCTTCCAGCCACAAGGGATGTGCAGTAGCGTACATGCACAGATACAGATACAGATACAGATGCAGATGCAGATGCGAATTACAAATACTTGTTAACAATTCGCTGCGCATTCAGATAATAAGTTATATAGTTCAGTAGAAGCTAAAATATCACTGATAAATTGCCTTAAAATTATAGCTATTAGTAAACTGAATTATAACTTACGAGTTACGAGAACTTAAAGAGATTATATTCCAAATATTAGAGATATTTAAGCTGTATCGATGTATTCAGATGTATTCTGTTTATGTAACAGAAAAAATATTTCAAGCTCGTTTTTCGTTGGAATTGTACAAATTTGTATGTTTTGTTAAGAGCATAATTTGAACAGCGTCACTCTAAAATTGTTGTTTTTTTGCTGATACACAACGATTAGTTAGTTGAATGCATATCAAAAATCAAAAATTGTGCAGCATTGACAAGTTGTGATTGTTATTGAACAAGCATTGCTTGCAGATACATTTGTATCTTTTGCGCTCAAAAACTCAGGCAGCTACCACCGCTCTAGCTGCGCAGCAGCAAATTTCTTCAGCATGCGCAACAACAATAACAACAATAACAAAAAAAACCAATAACGAGCGCACTTTATGTGCCTATCAGAGCCGGGCAACGACGACGCTTCTGAATCCAAAAGATACACGACACGAGAGCACACGAAGCAGCCGTCAGCCGTCAGCCGCCAGCCGCCAGCCGTCGTCGTCGTCGTGGTCTACAGTCGAGTTCCGAACGAGCTGGGGAACGCACGTGTGTGCCGCACACAGAAAAAGCCACAGAGCAATATAGCGTATATCGTATATGGCATACAGCAGACTTGAGCGAACCAATTCGTGTCGAAAGTGAGTCGAGTCCCTGGCAAAAAAAAATAACATAAAAAACCACACACAAAAGCAAAAGCCAACTTCGCGCTAGTATAAACATATCCGTTGCAACGGTACACCGAACTTCCGTGTGATCGATTCCGGCGCGCGTGTTTCGATCTGAACAAGTAGAGAGTCCACATATGAGACGTGGCCGGCCGGCCGGCCCCCAATCGCGCATTGTATTGAAGACGCAGTCGGCGCCGTTTTATCTGAAACAAAAAACAGAAACAACGAGCCGAAACCTTTAAGCCTGTTTAGATGGATGGATCGGCGTGAGGCATCGAGGCGGACGCGGCGCGTCGTCTGTTCAAACGGGTTTCGTTGCGCTCGATCGGGGGATCTGTCTGGAATCGCTGGCCTTTTGATGTTGCGCCCTCGGCGAACGCAGCTATCGAGCAGCTCTAAACGTTTCCAGGAAGCCAACTGGATCGGCCAGGAGGCTGCGGCGGACGCTGCTGTTAACCAAATAAATCAACATTTGATAATGTGAAAACAAAGCAGCAAAAAATCAATGAGAAACCGTTTGAAGTGCTCACGTGAAAATCTATACAATCAAAAAAAATATATATAATTGATTGAATCATGCAAAAGTGAACTCAAAAAATGTTTGTAAAAAACAAAATGTAGCTGCCAAGAAAAATAAAGCGCGCAAATCAAACGAAAAGTATTAAGCAGTCCAAATAAGTTCAGGAATAGCAAAACAACAAAAAATTACAAGAAAACGAAACGAAATTGGAATTGGAAAATAAAGCTAAATAGATACATACTTAGGCATATATCACGACTATCAAAGTTACATAATCTCAATATAAGGCTATAAGTAAAGAAACAAAAAAAAAGTATAATTCGAATAGAATTTAATAATACATTTTTTTATACATCACGCAGTCTTATTAATTTCAAAAATAATAATAAAAAAAAACCATTTCTTGCATACAAATAAATTGATTAAAATTTATATTAATCATACAATAATAATTAAAATAAATAAAATATTTTATCAATTAGAACCTAGCATTTAATAATTTATTAACTACAAAGTACTTACAACAACAAAAACAAAACCGAAATAATCGCATTCAATACGCATTCAAAAACACGCCAAAAAGTAGACTTTAGACCGGAACCAAACAATATCCAACAATAACCACAAAACAACAAAGCGACACATTTAGTAAATCTGATAACTGATAATTGCCAACTGCTGACAAGAACAATATGCAAACGATAATTATAAAGCTTGTGCTGCTGCTGCAGTTAATCAGCCGGCTGGGACGCTGCCAGGAGCAGCAACTGTTGCTGCCGAGCATCGACAGCAATGCAAACGTGCAGCAGCAACAGCATCAACATCAACAGCCGCACAGCAGCAACATTAACCATCAGCAGCACAGCAGCAACAATCTCAGCCTGAACAGTACGCTGCTCAACACGCTGCTCAGCAGCACTGGCCAATTGGGAGGTGTTGGTGTTGCAGGCGGTGCAGGTGCCTTGCCACTGCCCGGCGGTGGTGCTGCCGTCAATCAGCTGGGAGGTATCGCAGGCCTAGGCAGCAGCACAGCAGCAAGCGCTCCGGCAGCAAATGGAATTGGCATGGGCCACGGAATGGGCATGGGAATGGGCCATGGCATCGGACACCATGGCCCTGGACAGGGAGGGCATCCACATGGGCATGCGCTGGCTGGACTGGCCAATCTCGGCATTATTGTGGGCAGCAAGGGCATGCCAGGCATGTCCGGAATGTTGGGCATGCAAGGCGGCATGGGCGGCTATGGAGGAGGAACTATGCTTAATGCTGGCGCCGCAGGAGGAGTTATTGGAGCAGGCGCTGCGGCTGCTGGCGGTGGAGGCGGAGGAGGAGGCATGGATATGCAGAGTCCATAGTGAGTAATTTAACAGTTATTATTACAGCACTACACACACACACACACACGCTTAATTGGAGGGCGCATGCACAAGTGAAATCTTATCATCAATTGATGAAGACGCTCAACTTGAGGCAGCTCGTCAAATTCTTTTGTCCTATTAACAACAACATGCCGGGGGCATCCCATGCGTTTTTTTATGGCATTCTCTGGCCTGGGGCCAATTGCCATTGACATGTTGTGGTGCAATCGTCTCCCGACCAGACAATCTACAGATTGAACCATTCACAAATCAACTTTTACTCTTTACCCTCCTGCAATTATAACGAGCTGCTCATACATATGTTCCCTGGCATTAAGAACATGGCTTGAGTTCTGGCTTAACCCATCACAGAACTGGCAATCACATTTTGACCCTTGCCTGTTATAAAATAAATATTTAATATGTTCCATGATTTAAGTTAACGATTTGGACTCACAAAGTTATCTTAAGAAATATTAAAAACAACTTATTCGACATTATTTTTTATTTTAAATGAAAATAAATGGAAAATTTATGTTGTGACAGTTAAATACTTAACCAAAAACTTCAAATTACAGATGTATTAAGCCATATAATAATAATAATTAATCGAATTATTCCGAAAAAATGTAGCTTGGCAGATCTGTTAGGTACAAATAGAATTTCATAATTGGGCTTTCTAAACAAATTAGACCAAATTTGTTTCTCTCTGTTGCCTTTATTTAAGCAAATTGTAGTGAAAACTGCGTATTATTGAGGTTTCTTAGAAAAAGATAAATAAAAACTCGCCTTCATTAAAACTCTCCAATTTTCGTTTGTGTTTTTCCATTGAATTTGCTCTTTGATGTATGCCAAACAACTTTTCAGTTTAATTACTTTGGATTGGTCGCATTTATTTGTTTACACTTGATTTCCAAGTTTATATAAGAATCGGTCAGTAGCTAATGCTTATTGATCCCGCCAAGTTAAATAAATAACAGCGCAAAATGTGCAACAGTCTGAAGACCACCCGAAGCTGTTGCCACACAATCTGCTAAGAAATCCCAAGAGGCAGAAGTTGAGGTGATGGACGAAAGGCGACCCTTCGGAATGCTGGTTGTTGCTGTCTGTGTTAAGCCCGGAGGCGCGCTTAAGCAATAAAGTAAAATTATTTATACTTACTTTGCTTTTTGCGCCTGTCAGCCAAAAACATTTTCATTTTTATTGCAAGGATTGAGAATTGAGGGTGGAGGCGTAATTATTGAAGCTACTGGCTAGTCTCAATCCAGGCGGCGGCCAGTTGTCAAAATGTGCGAGCCGTCGTTTTTTATGATTATTAGCAGCGACGGACTGCAACGTAAATTTTACTTACACTTCACATTAATTTGCCCACTGACAACAGGCAGTAGCAGTCACAATGGGCTTGCCGAGGCCCGGCAGGCAATGTAGTGGTAAAGGGGAAAGGACCTGGCAGTGGCAACGGTTATTATTTGCCATTACAAAGCCACCCACAAAAAAACAACTGCAACTCCAACCGTGTGCCATCTCCAACTAGGGTTACTGCTGGACTTCCTCCAGTCCTTTTCAGCACTCTCCGTGCGGGAACTGGGAATTTTTTTATTGCCCAATAGCCAAATGGGCGCCACACTTGCAGCTGCAGCCTGATTCCCTGTTAATTTTGTACCTATTTTATTTATATATATATACATGTATATATATATATATATATTTCTTCTTTTTTTGCTTTTGTGCTTGTCTCAATGGGGTAGAAAGTGTTTCACTTGCTGAAACGTTGACCCAACCGTAGACCAGACAAATCGATAGACAGCAATAAGCTCAAGCTACAGCTATAGCCATAGCCATAGCCCATTAGGCAACATTTGACCACTGTTCACTGTTCACTGTTCACTGTTCACTGTTAGACCCGCTTGATTACAATTAATCGGCTTATTTACCGGAGCCATTTTCCCATTTGCCAATTTGCCAATTTGCCATTTGGCTGATGAGCTACTCTGCTGCCACTCGGCTCCCTCATTGAGTTCAACGTCAAATGCGGTGCAACGTGCTATTTTATTGATTTGAAATGTCAGCACAAATCGAGTGCAATATTAGCAAATTATGCTTTTTGCTTATAGCGATCATTAAAATACTAAAGGGCATCATATGATGAAGTAGTTAAAACTTCAGCACATCTTTTGAAATTCATTGAGATTATTGAAGAACTAAGATAATTGCAATATTCTATTAACAAAAACAAACACCACACTTTCAATTCTCAATGGACACGCAAGAAATTTTAAAACTACAGTTTGGATTTTTTTTTTATAATAAGCTAAGATTTAAAAAATTGAAACCACTTATTCATTCTGTATTCAGATTTGAGACCATGAGCCAGAGTAAATCAATTTTCACTTTGCATGCACTTTATGGAGACCAAGTGCCAAGTTACTCCGTTAATCTTCTGTCCTGCCCAGTTGGATATAAAGTACTTGAACACCTGCCTAAACAGTTCGTTTGCAAGTGCAACTTCACCCGGTCTCAGTGTGGTTGGCCTAATATGCAAATATGCGAGTCGAAGGAAATGTAGCACACAGTGTGGCAGGCAGCAGGCATCAGGCATCAGGCAGCAGGCAACAGGGGGCGGGGATTGGGTTTGGATTTGGGATGGGTGCCTGTTTACACGAATCAATATGCAGAAAAGCTGATTAGGGGATGTAATGAAAATTTAATAATTGCCATTCAGGCACTCGATGGACAAGGAAGCGTAGTATTTGCCCGCTGCCCACAACCAGAATGATTCCCCCGGCAGTCGCAATTAATCTTCAGCGCAGGGTTGCGCCTGGTAATATTAGAAGATGAACAAGAAGAAGCAGCTACCAGCAACTCAGCAGCCAAGTCAAATAAAACCAAAAACCAAAAAAATAACTGCAAATTTGACTAAAGAGTAGGGGACGCGGGTTGGGGTCAGAATTGGGCAGGGTTGGTTTCAATTTCACCATTTGAAAGGCAAAGCAAAAGGCAAATAATGTAATAATGTTTGACAGTCTCGTTTCCGTCTCGACCCCCTCCCCCCCCTTACCCACCCCCCTTTCCACATTCCGTCTAGCGTCTCTCGCCCTATGACGTCTGTTGTTTTGTTAACAGACATTTATGACATTATACGGCGCAAAATGATGTTGTTACAGGGTGTAACAAAAGCCAACGCCACCCCAGGCAGACTCAACCCCCTTTTCAGTCAATCCTTTGGCCCGCTGTGATTTCATTTGCCTTACAAGCGGCAAAAATCTGCTTAATTGTGCGTAAGCCTTGTAGTCCCCGACCACGACCCTTGCTTTCCTCCCTCCTCCCAGTTAAATATTTGTCAAAGAGTAATTAAAACTTACTTACTTACCGTTGCCTGGGTTGCCTTTGCTGTTTGCTGGCTTTGCGAGAACAAAAGAACAACTTAATGTTAACTATGCGAGTTCTTTGAGTTTCACAAAAGTTCAACTCTCTGTCTCTGTCTCTGTCTCTGTTCCTGTCGCCTTTTGTATCTGAGTGGTTATAGTGCTCGTATCTCTATAGTGTCTGGCGTCCTAGCGGAAACATAAAAATGTTAATTTTTCCACCCAGAAGAAAAGCCAGTGAATTGCTTTTGTTGCACAGAGGCCGCAAATTATGAGACTGGTTACCAAGAAACATGCCAGATGATTCTGCTAGACGCCAGGGTTGGGCTCTCGAAATTGACGATAACGATTATGTGTAAAGTTTCGGTATTGTTTATATTTTTCTTTTTATTTTGGGTTTTTTTCTTTCGGTTGGCACAAAATTAAAAATATCCCTGCAAAAGAAATGCGGGAAATCTTTTGCGGCTGCGGCTGCTGCTGCAGTCATCGCCATGTGGCACCACCAAAAAAAAAGAATTTATTTGTCTCAATATGCCAGTGACGACAATGAAAGCAACTCTGGGGAGGAAGATTGGTGTCCCCTCTTTCGGTAGTATAGTACCCTTGCAAAATGAAATGGCAGGCATAAAGTTTTTCCTTTCCTCTATTATTGTGGTCTTTTATTTAATTTGCTTGACTTTTTTCTGTTTTTGTTGGTGCTTGAAAAGTTGAGGGCATTGCGACATGGTCAAGCATTTGGTGACGCAGTATTAAAGCCTTAATGCAAAACAGAATCCTAATAAAATGGATTGGGAATTGTTGCAGTGCTTAGAATACAGATACAATTTGCAAGTCATATTTTTTCTCTTGCTTTTTGCAGAAAACATTCACGGTCATTTATTATTCAGAGATCTCTGTTTCGCTTTCCTTTACCCACCAATTAATATAGCATTTTCATTTGCTTACGTTGAAAGATGATCATATTTTCTGCGTTTTCCGATGTTCATGAAGTACATTCAATGTGCGGTGTTGTGTCTTTGAGCATTGATAATTTGATTTTCTAGCCATTTTCCCGCCAACAATTTGCCTGCCATTTGCCATTTGAACTTTTTAATTTTGTCGTTTTGATGGCTGCGTTTTATGATGCCGTTGCCTTCATTTGAAACTGCTGAACAGTCTCTTTGTCAGTGGCATGCAGCTGCTGCCATTAGACTTTTCCGCTTGCTCGTGGTTTTTGTCTTAATGATAAAGTCGGGGATTTTCAGTTTTACCAGCTTGGCTTAAATTCTATACAGCAGCATCCTTTGTTGTGCCTTGGCCAAAGCTAAGCCATAAAAACAAAACAAAAAAAAAATAAAAATAAAACAGTGAATAGAAAAAATCAGCTGGAAACCCCAAAGAAATCGCCTCATAAATTGGCTATGATGAGTCTAATAAAACTGAAACTCAAACTGAAACCGAAATTGAAGCTGTGCCACAATCGCTGCGAGGGTTGCAGTCTGCAGTTTCTTAACAACAATAGAAATGGAAAATTTTTTGTTGTTCCCATGACACAAAATGCATCTTCGTGTAATTAATGTGCGTCGAAAGCAAGAAATACCCAAAAATGACTTAAACAAATCAAAAGAATTGAGCTGCGGTTGGGATTCAGA